CCGTCGCCTCCTCGAGCGTCGGCGGGAGCTCGCCGAGCCAGATGAAGGGCCGCAGGCCCGCGTCCGACGCGTAGAGGAGCTTGTTGAGGAAGAGCGGCCAGAGCCGGAAGAGGTAGCCGGGCCCGTTCGCGACCATGAGGAGCGCGGGGCCGCCGCGTTGCGGCTTCGTCGCGGCGCCGGGCGCGTACTCGCAGACCGCGGGGCGGCGCAGGAAGCGGTCGTGGGCCCGCCGGTCGCGGTTGCCCGCGGCGAACGTCGCGCCGTCGCCGAACGTGAACACGAGCTCGGGGCCGCGGCCGCCGCGCGCCGCGTCCTTGACGTTGAGGCCGATGCGCCCGACGTCGAAGGTGCAGCCCACGTCGATGGCGCCGAAGGCCTTCATCCAGTCGCAGTGGTCCGACCCGCAGCGCCCCACGGACCCGGCCCGCGCCCAGTCTTTCACGTAGTCGTCCATGGCGCCCGCGCTCCACGTCGGCTCGGAGGACGCCGCCGTCGGGGCGCCCAGGAGGGCGACGAGGGGGAGCGCGCATCGCCATCGAGACGGACGCGGACGCATATCGTTCGTCGATCGACGGGTCGCGTGGCGACCACCGCTCTCCACCTGGAGGAGATCTACGATCGCCGATGTCGTCGAGATCGTCGAGTGGAGGACGCGACGAAGCCTCGACGATCGTGCTCGCTCCTCGCTCCACTACCCTAGCCCTCCCCTTTGATCCTCCCTCCCTTCGATTCCTCCCTGCGCCGCGGCTAAGAGGACGCGACGGCCTCGCGACGCGCCTCGACGAGCTGGCGAACGAGCGGGCGCGCTGCGAGCGCGCGGTACGCGCGAAACCCCACCTCGACGCGCCGCGGACACCTCACATAGTTCTCGTTACTCGTCGTCCCCGATCCACCTGCCCGCGAAGTCGTTGTAGACCTCGCCGCGGTCCACGGGGAGCATGTCGCCGTCCGCGGGCTTGGACATCCAGAGCGTGAGCGCGCGGCGGTCGCGCTTCGCGGGCCGCACGGTGTGGACGAGGCGCGAGTCGAAGACGACGACCGTGCCCGCCTCGGGCCAGACGTCGACGCGGCGGTGGCCGGCGAGCGCGGCTTCCAGATTCCGCTCGTCCGCGGGCGTCCACGCGCGGCCCGCCTGCCCGAGCAGCACTCGCTGCACGGCCGCGTCGTCCACGGAGTCCGGGTAGAGCTCGAGGGCGCCGCCGTCGGCCGCGTCCCAGTGCTCGTTGAGGTACAATATGGCCGTCGCGTGCCGCCCGTTCTTCTTCGCCTTGCCCGGGCTCGCGGGCCCGTTGTCCGAGTGGAGCGTGTAGCCGCCCGAGCCGTCGACCTCGGGCCGGTACGTCGCCAGCTGGACGTGCCTCGTGACCGTGAGGGGCGCGTCGGCCGTCGCCGGCGCCGCCGGCGGCGCGGGGCCCCGGCATAGGAAGCCCGGCCCGTCGACGAAGTGGCCGTTGAGGTACGCGGCGACGGACTTGAGCGCCCCGACGGCGCCCGCGAAGGCCGGCGCCGCGGAGCCGTCGACCCAGTGGACGCGGTCCGTGCGCAGGTCGTGGCCCTGGCCCGTCAGGTTGCCCGCGCCCGCGGCCGCGGCGCCGGCCGCCGCCGCGCGCCACTCGGGCGCGGCGCCCCGCAGGATCGCGTAGCCGTCGCGGCGCAGCGCGTCGACGTCAAAGTCCCAGCGGTCGTCGGCGTAGGGCGTCGCCCCCTCGCGGAACTCGCCCCAGGCGCCCAGCGCCTTGGACGCGAAGAGCTCGACGGCGTCGACTTTTCCGCACTCCGCCAACCGCTGGCTCAGCCACGCGCACTCGTCGAGCGTCGGCGTCTCGAACTCGAGCACGCCGTCGATGAGCGCGCAGCTCCAGCCCAGGTCGTCGGCGGAGATGGCGGCGTCGCCCACGAGCCGGAAGCCGGGCGTCGT